GAGCGACAAGCCGACGGCTCCCGGGACCGCAGGCAGCTGCATGGCGGAGGGGCCCCGCTGCCAGCCCGCTGCCAGCAGCCTCCCACCCGCGCTCCCCGCTGGGGCCAGAGGGAAGCGGACAAAAGTCCCCCAGAAGCGCCCGGGCCAGTCAGTTGCCCCGAGTCCAACCCAGCCCGCCGCGCATGATCCCCGGCCTCCATGCAAAGGTCGCAGACTTTCGTCCCCCGGGCGACTCTCTCGTGCCCAGCCTGAGTCAACACGGCGCGCTCCCGGGTGGAGCTGCTCGCCCAGAGGCGGAGCCGGAGCCTTTGCCCCGCCTGCCGCTTTGCTTCAGCTCCTCCGCTTTGCAGCGTCTGCCAAGGAAGTTTTCAGAAACAGTAAGATCGAGGCCGGGAGGCTCCTTCCCCCTCTCGGTTAGAGCCAGGCGCTGGGACTCCTGGGTTCTATCCGTCCTCGTCCCCCCCGACTCCTTTGGTGACCTTAGACAAGCCAAGTCAGTCTGTGTTTCCCCCACCTGGAGCCTGGCCTGCTAGAACATTCACACAGGGCTGCCTGGCAGTTCAGTCCACCTTTGCCCAGTGCTTGAGCAGCGTTGGGAAGACAAGGGCTATCCCAGCAAGAGTCAGCGGGAAAGGACTTGGAAACCTGCCGGCCTCCTTAGCCAGCTCCTGCGACCCCCCCCCCCCCTGCAAAACACAACCCAGGCAGGCACCTGCCACGCCTGGCTCCAACTCACCAGGTGCCCACCCAACCTCTGCTGCACTCAGAGCCAGCTGGGCTATTTGTTAGTTTCAGACGCAGAGACGTTGATATCTGGTTAGCAACTACCCCCAGCCCACCTCCGGCCTGCCCTCGCATCCTGCTGGTAATGGCACCTTCTCCAGTGGCAGATGGAGGAAGCCGCAACACGGATGCCTTCAATAACACTCTTTATCGTCCGGGATGGCAGCAGCATCGCCCCATGCTGTCGGGACCATTGACAAGGAGAAAGGGCTTCACAGCCAAGTGGCCTGAAGTGGTCCTAAGCACTATCATCATCTCACCAAACAGAACCACTCCTACATCTTGGGAGGCGGTGTCTTTTCAGCTGAGCTCTTCATTTCCAAGCTGATCAACTTCAGCTCTGAAGAAGAGGCTGGTTGCTGGGCGCCAGTTTCTGTGCCCTGGAAACCCACATTTTCCAGTTAGTCCCCAGAGATTCCATCAGGTCTAAAGTTGCTCAGATACAATCGCACAGATATGCCCACTAGAGGCGCTTGCAATGTTGAGAGTCCCGATTTTGCTTACGTAAGATTGTCCTTAGCAAAATGAATGTCCTTACTTAAGTCTGTGGAACTCATTGCCAAAGGATGGTTTTGAGAGAAAGAACCTAGCAAAATTCAAAGAGGGATTGGACATTTATCTGGTAAGGAGAATAACCAGAGTTAATGGTAGTTAATGCTAATGGAAAGAGTTTTGGAAGGGCGATGAACCCTCATTTATTAGGAGTTAAGCCAATTTCTATTAGGACGCAGGAGAGACCTTTATGGGAGGAAATTACCCCACATCTGCCTACTGCGGGGCTTCTTGCACCATCCTCTGAAGAGAGTGGATACTGGACTAGATGGACCATGAGTTGGATCCAGGCTGGCTATTCTACTTCCTGCTTTCATAATCATGAGGCTGAACATCTGACAGTCCCTCTCTCTCTGGCCCCAATTTATTCCTACTCTGACTTCATTGGGTTTATGTCACAAATACCTCTAAGTTCTTAAAAGGATGCATTTGGGTTCCTGTCTGCTCCCTAAATGCTCTCTCCCATGGAAGTGACAGCCAAGAATATTGCATCTCTTCACCCTTGACATCTTACTGCTTTTGACCCCGATAATCTGATTACATTCCATTACTCTGTAACTGCTCTAAGTACTTTACTGAGCAACCCAGGCTTCTTGCTGACCTTGAATGAGATAATTCAGCGTTGGTTCAAGAACATAAACCTGCCCCCCCCAAAAAAAAAGTTAGAAAAAGCCCACAGGTCAGCGTCCTCTGCCAGGGAAACAAAAAGACCTATTTCAGTGGTAATCAGATCACGTTGACAAGGCAGTATAAGATTGCTCCTTGGTGCACATTGAGAGCTCTGTCCAGTCTCTCTAAGTATCCAGGGCTGCAGTCTCTGCTTCTGTCCCTGGGCAGCTATTTCCACAGTCTCAACCCATCTATGGTGTTTTCCCTCCACTATGCAGCTTTTCTTCATTTTATCTAATTAATCTTGGGGTTTATAGAGCTCACACCTTATCATTGCAGCATCTGAGCTCCTCACAAACATTAATGAATGCATCCTCATAGCAAGTAATAGCTCTATTGTACCGATGGGGAAATAAGGCATAGATTCTTAAGGTCACCCAGGGAGGCTATGGCAGGTGCTGAATTGAACCCAGATCTCCTGAGTCCCAAGCCAATGCATTAACTATAAGACCATCCTTCCTCCTTGTTTACTAGCCCCACGACATAGACTGCTTAAGTTTATACACAAAGGGGTCACGCTGGTCTCCTTGACATTCACGTGGAAATACTGTCCAGAAAGACTAAGATGTACTCCACAAGGTGTTTTGAAAAGCTTGGTGACTGAAGCATTTTCTTCCCATTCATCCTGGAAATCTGTAGCATCCAAACAGCTCAAGAGAAAAAACATCTTCAGATTTTGAGAGAGAGAGAATAAAAAGCCCATGAAAGCAACCACTTTTTACATGCCTTTGAGAGAATTTTAATCAGCAGAGGTAGAGCAGGTATTTCAAGGTCTCTGTTGAGGCAAGGCTCAGTTTCCAGCAAGATTGTGACCTCTCCATTTAACCTCTCTTTTCAGAAATTGAGAGTCAATGCCAGTTGTCGGGGGAGGGACCTGGTTGAATGGTAGCACGTAGAATGTGCCAGAAACGTTCCAAGAACGAAGTGTTGTTTGTCAGACATTCAAAAAAAAAAACAAATTTGCTGTCATGTGACCTTTCACCTTGCTTCCAAAAGCTTTCCATCTGAGCCGTTGTGTCATTCCTTTGCTCCATCACGATTCAGAGTCCACGGATGAATTAGTGGCTGTGCACTTTGCCCTGTACTGTTTCATTGCTTCGTTATGCGGCAGCAGAAGTGGAAGTTACTTTGTATATGCCCCGCGATGACAATTCATCTTATTAAGCAACAATTCAAAGTACAGGCAGTTGTACATGCACTGATTAATAGCAGGGGGCGTGAATACAGCTCTGCCCCACCTCACACATTTGTGGGGTTTTAGCACTTGTGAAAGGTACCGGATTATCAGCCACAGAGGCCAAAGTCCCATTTGCTCCCACACAAGCACAGAAGCGTAAGCCTCCCCCCAGCACTGCACTATCCGGGACGGAGAGGGGAGTTCGATCTCCCTGGGCCATCCAGTGGTTAAAGTATGTAACTTTACATTCTGACTGTAAACGCCTCAGGGAAGGCAGTCATTGCCCAGCTCCCACTGGCACGGGGCATGCATCCTGCCTGTGACCACTGGCCGCTCCCACAAGTACTGGACAATAAAGTAAAATAACAAAATGACAGGCACAGACCTTAGGCTCCGAATTTAAGCACACTTTAGAATTACTATTACAAGTAAGGAATCTTTTCTGCATTCTAATGATCCACTTGAACATTGAAGTATCAATACATCTATCCCTTGCTTCACATGTCTCTGTCCCCATGCCTTTGGCCATAGCTGCGGTCAGCAGGGAAATCCCTTCTTATAAACTAGAGTGGGTGAATGGCAAGGCATTCTCTGTGTGGGTTCAAGACTCTGGAACATGCTCTCCTTTGGTTAGGAATAGACCTGGGCACACTGAAAAGAGGCAGTGGTTTGGTAGGATTCAGGGAGAAGGCTGAGGACAGGCTTTGAGCTGATAAAGGGACAGAAAGGTGTTTGTGGAGGTCGTGGGCTGAGCTCCCATTGAATTGATCATTTAATATTGTTAAGATAGAGATGTCGTGTTAATGGCGCATTTGGTGTTTTTAATTATTTAAATTGAAATAAATAAAAGTTGAGCCAGAGATGCCCACACAGAGGAACAAAGCTTGTACCAATGTACAGGGTGCTTCTGAGAAACAAGGCCATTGCCATATTGGTGTGTGCTGAAAAAGAGGCATACAGGACATCTGCCAACAGAAGAGTGGGCAGGAAAAGCAGGGTATACTCACTTTTCAAGAGAGATTTGCAAACCATGGAAGAGTGAAAACACTTGGCAGTCTCTGCAGCATTTGATTAGCTGTAGATATTTCACCAGCTGTTTAAAAGAGGAAACCTGCACAAGCACCAGTCTGCACTGCCTTAAAAAAACATCCCTAATGGCTGGCTACGAGGGATTCTCAATATATTATTGCACCTATACTTGAAGTGAACATTCTGATAATGTGCCCGTGTCTACAGCAGCCATCCTCACGGCTATTGGGATTGGGCCTTCAGCCCACAAAGGTACAGTCACTGGAATTCAATGCTGTAAGTTAACTTTACGAAGCCCAGGTGACTTGAGCAGCAAGCTCTGTTCCCTGCAGTGCTTTTGGTCTTTCATAAATGTGGAAACGTTGTTAAGAAGTTCTGCTTAGTTTCATTCATGCCCAAAGACCCAGCAGGTGGAGAAGAGAAACAAGGAGAGCAGCACACCCTAAAACTGTGAGGCTCATAAACTAAATGGATCAACTAAACACCCCAGGAAAGCCTGAATGTTACAGCAGCCTTAATAGTTTTGGGAGAAGCTCAGCCTCACCAGTGGCCTGCCAAAATTTCCTACCTTTATTACCTAATGTTTCATAGTTATTGCCCATGTGCTGATTAGCCACATCAGCTGCAATACCCCAGTGTGCAAGCTGTAATAAGCGCACCTGTTACCCTGGCATATATCACTGCCAGGAATGGATCACATATTTCTTAGTTGCAAGCCTGACTGCCTGTGTTTCTGAGGTGCCCATACATTTAATTTTCCCATGATGAACTCATATCAAATTGACCAGTCTCTGTTTTTATTTTTTATTGAAAGCCAAGCCATTAACTCTACATCACTGAGAAAGGTGAATCACATACTAAATGGTAAGATTTTGGTATCAGGGCAGAAGGGGCAAACAACAAACATGGGGAGGGGAAAAAAATCTTACAATTTGAGATGTTTTGAAAGAATACTACCATGGGGCTGTATGTTCACCCACAAAAACCTGTGGCAAGGCCACTGCTTCTGATCAGACTGATAAAAAGCTAGGGGGCAGATGGGTGTGAGTTTGTTTACAGCCAGAGCAGAGGAGAGTTGCAATGCAGCGGTGTTTCACAGACCAATAAAAATCCACTGGCCTTTAATAACTCAGGTTTGAAGGCCTGGTTCTCTGCCACCCACATCCACAGAAAGGATATGTGGGCCTCTTGTTTTGCTGAAAGCTGTGTGTGAATTTAGTGTTCAGGAAAGTGAGGGACGAATGGCACTGGCACTGGGCAAATTTCCACAGCAGGCCTCAATCCCCCACTGTGTCGCTCTGCTCCAGACTTTGTTTTTCTACGAAGCAGAGATAAAACAAATAGGCACTGGGTTTGCAGTTTCAGCTGGACGCCAGACTCTTTATACTTGTGACTTAATACAGGATTTGAACTCAGATCTTCGGGGGAAAAGGCTAGTCAACTAACTGATACTCACCTTTGGGGACTAAGGGGGCTGCCTCGTATATATTTTTAATAAAGCTACGGCCAAGGCAGAATAGGCTGCATATCTGAGCAGTGGATGCAAAAAAACACAAAAAAATGTATTTCTTGGCAAGTAACATGGCACTGAGCAATAAACCAATGGAGTCCCTGAACTATTCCCATTAGTATCTTTGGTGCTACCCTTCTGTACAGGAGGGCACCGGATAAAAACCTCCATTCTCACCTGCTCTCTTCTCCTTTTTGAATACCATCCCAGGCCTTGTTTGATGCAGTTGTCATGGCACTCAAGTGTGCAGTGAGTGGGCTTCTAGGCCTTTGTTCTGGGTGAAGATGTCATTGTGACTTTAATAGATTTTACAATATTTGCAAAAAAAGGATGATAATGCAGTTTTGTAACATTTCACAGTAAAATTACAACAGTATTAAAAATACTTTGTCCTGAAAACGCTATCAGTAGTAAGGTCTCCTCGGATTGTTCTGTAGAAAAGGGAACAACAACAGAAGATTAATTAAAATTGCAATTTGAACAGAACAATGACTATGTGAGCTTAATTAATATTAATTGAAGGACTCCACTGAAATAGGAGGTTTCAAGGGGTGAAATCTGAGGTTTCCTCTGGAAAATTACAAATGGAATGCAAGACTAAGTGCATTGGCCTGCTGGATGTAATGCAGAGTCACATGCAAACTGATAAGCTTTTTGCCATAAGAATGGTTATTCAACATAAAACACGCTGGGATTCAAGGACAACCCATCAGCTTCTTTTGTAGGCAGTATTTATACTTGGCACATACAGCTTCCAGCTAAACACAGGAACTTTTGTATTAAAAATAATAGCCAGGAGAGCTGACTGTCCGGGGTGTTGTGGTATTCATGATTTGATTCAACACAAGAACAGAACCAAAAGGAAAATCTCTTAGTGTGAATTGTTACAGTTCATTTCCCTGTTCCCTGTGACTGTTACTTTATTTGCTCAATTAAAATGTAACTCTTGGGGATATTTAGGAATATCCTCTGATGAAAAGGTACAATACAAGCGCTTTACAAACACTGAGTCTCACATTCTACACACACTTTCCTGAGGTGAAGGAGTAGGTCAGACTCAGCATTTATATTTTACATGTAGGGAAACAACTACAGGCAGGTGATTTGCCCCAGGTTGTAGAGTGAGCCAGTAGCAGAGTTGGGAATAAACTCTTGGGGCGCAGATCTCCATGGCTCTGCCCCTTGTGCAGTCATTTACATCACTATCAAGGGAGTGGAAACTCCCAACACCCACATTTGATACTATTTTACACCCACTTTATATGTGTAAATGGCTGCACAATGGGCAGGACGAAGGAGAATGAGGCCCCAGAGTCCCAACTCCTAGGTCCCCGTGCTAGCTGGAGCCTGCCTCAGAGGGGTGCTGTGGAGATTAGTTGGTATTTGGGAAACACTTTGAAGATGAAGGGCCATACTGTGTCCTCTCTGTTTTTACACAAGGCAAAATTGGCCATAAAGATAAAGTATTCTGGAGCACTAATACTCCCCGTCCTCCCCCTTACAGGATATGGGCAGAGACACTATTGAAGCTTCACTATGTCGGAAGTGTGTTAGGAGTCACCTCACCAAAGGGTTGGGTCGGAACCTGTAGGCCAACATCATTCTTTTACGAAATGCCTCATACTCGTCATCCTCCTTCGATAGCTCAGCGGGACGATCGATCCCAAACCCAGCTCCGTCCACTGCAGTGGTACCCCTGTTTAAAAAAACAACCACAAAAAAACCCTTCTAGTTAAGCAGATGCTAACAGAACATCTCTCTGCTAATCTAAAGAACCCACCACCTCATAGGATCTGCCCTCCTAACCAGAGCACAGAGACCAAGACAAAGGGACCATGTTTGCATTGCACAGGCGAAGACAGATCTGCAGCAATCAGGGTAGCTAGTTTTGACCTCAGAACAGTGCAGTGCTATTACAGCATTGCAAGCTCATTCCTCCAACCAGCAAACCCCGCTGCTGTAGTGAGAAGCTGTGGCGTAAATACAGCGCTAGTTAAACAAAGGGTTAATTAAGCATGTAACAGGGATAATTCTCAGTGCTTTGGGTGCCTCTCTAGTGAAGGATCCCCTGCCATGCTTATTAGCCTCTGGCAGTTAAGGTGACCAAACGCAATGATCTGGACCTTGCTTATTTAAGGAATGAGCATGAAACAGAAGGTGGCTACCTCACACCCCCAAAAGGGAGTCACTGGAAGATAAATCAGTATTCTTCCCTGTGCATCAGACAGCTCCCTTGCCTTGCCAAGTCATAGACATCAGAGATGACAGAGCCTCTTAAGTCACATTTTGCCCAACTGTGCAGTGCAGGATTGCTCCCTGCAGCACATTTGGGAAAGGTGTAGTGGAAGCCTCATTATTCTGTACACAATAATCTCTCCCCACAGCTCTTGATTTAAGTGGGCCACCACTTCACCAGACAGATATTCCTGAGAGAAAGGAGCTGAAATGCTTTGTAGAGACACTTCATCTGTGGTTTCCACTAGATATGCACAACTGTAGTTTACAAAGGACCCACTGGATGGGAAACATTCTTAATTGCTTTCATTATCAATATTTAGTTTCCCTATAGTCCAGCATACACCACAAGCAGCTGGTCATTCTGATCCACTTTGGATGCAATTACTCTTTATTATCCCAAAAACACTTGAGTAAAGAAACAGACTGATGTCCAGAGGGATGGCATGTACACACAAAGCTTTCTGCTTGGTACTGACGTGGCTTTTAAAAACAGTTGGAGCAGTACCATCTGGTAACTGCCCTTGATGGACAGCGCACCAGAGACCAGCAAGTCTGCTTCAGAGTTCTCCAGCTGCATAAGGCATGCATTGGATATTTAATCACATACAGCACTTTACAAACATTGATCAATCCTCACATGGCCTGTGTGAGGAAGTAAGCACTACCCCCATTTTAAAGATGGGGAAACTGAGGAACAGAGTATGTGTCTCAGAGGATGGCACTGTGAGAGTCAAGGTTAGAATTCAGAAGCTCCTGGCCCATGCTCAGAGCACAGATCAACTATCTAATTCTGGAACCAGAAACACCTCAGTAGATTTTTTTTCCCCCCTTTATGAAAAAGGTTCTATGCACCGTCCAAATTATGAACCTCAGCCATATTCATTCCAGCTGCTTCCAACAAGCTGGGAAGCGAGCATCAGCACCTACCTGACAGAAAAGGACTGAATCAACAGAAAGAAAATACAACATTTTGCTTACTTGCTGACTGGATTTTTAATCCCCTGTCCATCGGAGCCAAGCCCATCACCCTCCTTCCAGCCCATCTTCATCAGCATTTGGTAACCTATATTCTCCACGGTCAGTTTGAATTCCTTGTACTCAGAATAATCTGGTTCGCGACCTTCCTGCAGGGCAACAAAAGGCAACACGAGTTACACTGCATTACTCCACTCGAGTAGGGGAGCAAGGAAAGAACCACGTAGGGGAGATTAGTGTGGGCTGGGCAAAGAGTCAGGGACAGTTAATAATTTTAACAAAACTTCTTGGGATTCCATTGCTCGTCCACCACAGGGGAGGAAACAGGTAAGCGATACAGCACAGCAGAGCCACCCAGAGTCCAAAATGTAATCTGCAAGGTGCAGGGAGTGCAACTATGAGATTAAATTGAGACGTATCAGGCTTCTGAATTGAAAGCTGCTCACTGGGCTGGCTCCAAAGATGGCTCTTATTTAAAAAGAGATCTTACCTCAGGCCCCATCTCCAGTGCTGGCTACAAAGGAACACTATCAAGGATGCCAGCAGAGTTGGCAGGAGCCAAGGGCTCTGCATAGGCTTTATATTTTTGCTTTATTACATTTGTCTGGCTAAAAATTCCAATTTTCCCTACCTGGTATTAGTGATTCCTCATCCTGCTCGGACACTGGAACTGCAGACTTGGCGGCAAGCAGTCTGAAAGCTCTGTCTGTTTCACTGTAATGTCACCTAGTGCCCTGTACCCCTTGCTGACGTACTGTTTTGTCACTCAGCCCAGCCAGGCTTCCCCGTGAATCACAATAGATCAGCCCCCCACCTCCTTTAGTGACAAGACCCCTGGGGGATGGAGTTGTTTTTCCTTTAGTCTCCAGCGGTGGAAGAACACCAGCATCCCACAGCTGTGCTGAATCAGGACACCAGCTCTTTTCAAAGGCTGATGCCAAGGGGTTCAGCACAAAGTGCAGACATTTCTGCAAGTGGATGGGGAGCCTGTACAGGCTTGAAGTATTAAAAAAAAACCCCAAAAACTTGCTTGCAAAGAAGATATACCAGTAAGTGGCTCACAGAACTGCAGGCAGCCTACTCTGGTAAATGGCTGAAAATGCTTGAGTACTTTCCCTCAGTGCTACCAGACAGGTCAGATTTCTGCTGGAGAGTTCCACTGTGGCCTAGGAAACTGTCGCTCATTTCACCTTTAATGCCTTGAACGTCTCCATGAATTTCTCCAGCTCATCAGGTGGCAGGAAGTCCCCGATGAAATGCTTCCCTCTGCCCATCTGGGTCAGTTGCTCGGCCCACTCTGCTCAAGACATGGAGGGGAGAAAAAAAAGCATAGTAATGATAAAGAAATGTTCTTTTATAGCACCTTTGACTTCAGAATCTCAAAGTGCTTCACAACCCCATGTGAAGTGGGTGTTATCTCCATTCTACGGGTGGGGAAAACGAAGCATAGAGGTTAAATGACTTGCCCAAGGGCACTCAGTGAGTCGGTGGCAGAGCTAGGAATGTCCTGACTAATCCCCTGCTCTAGCCACAAGACCTCATACTCCTTTCTATGGAAGTCTCAGCACAGCAGCAGAACAAGAGGAAATTCAGTGCTGAGGCTTTCCCACCCACCTCGTGTCTTGTCCATTTCCATGCGTCGAAGCTGATGTTCCCATGTCCCCAGTTCATTGTCTACCTCCTCATCGCTGTCATAATCATGCTGGTGCTGCTGAACCGCTTTTTCCCACATCACCTGCATTTCCTGCATGGCTCGCTTGTGTTTCATGATCATGTCATACATCTGCTGCATCTAGGGAAGCAAAACAGTAGCCTGCTCAGTGAGGCAGCTAGTCTGTAGGCAGCAGAGTGGACACAGAGAGGTCCCTAAGTTCTGCAGTAGAGCACATGGCTGCCTTATCGATGAGACAGAAACGCAGGCCATGAAGACTAGAAATCCCAGCAGGCAATGCTGAATCCAACTGCAAGCAGCTTACTGCTCAGGTCCAACAGGAGCATCACCTGCTGGCATCTTTGAGAGCTGCACCCATACATTAACAATGTGGGCAGCTGCCATGTGACCCTTTTTATGTAGTTTGTAGTTTAAATGCAGCCCTCAGGATCCCAAAAGTGGCCAGTAATGATACCCTGAACTACAGTAACACAAATCTCAGCAGGGAAGAAAAGTGACACAATAAGCCTTGCAGACATTGGGCTTTAGTTGGAAAGGGCATTAAGTCCTACATGGATAGCATATAAGAGGAAAGGTGAGCTCACAGCCAGAACATTTTTTTGTTTAGCGGGGAGATGGGTTGGCTGGATTTTGCTCATGTCCCCCTATGCTCTATAATGCATTTCTGCTGACCACAGCATCATCTGATACTTACAAATCCAATATGAATTCAAGAGGTTTTGTTTGTTCAGCCCCTGGGAAAATCTCTGTTGTCTATCTCCACCCCTAACCCAACCATGCTGCAATGCAATGTACTGCTGCACAAATTAGCTTAGAAATCATTTCATGGCATTACCTCCTGCTGCTCCTTCAGCTGTTTCTTCTGCGCATCAGAGAGCTCTGTCACACCCACTAGTCCAACCGGTTTCCCTTTTTCATAACCAAGACCCTTGAGGTCCTGAACTGAAATAAGCAAATGTCAAAGATTTTCAAAAAACTGAGCCAGCCGTTCAAGACAGCAGAACCATATCCCAACATCCTATCCATTTAAATCTTACAGTCTGTTTCATAACTCCAGCATTAAGATGCTAAGCTGCACAACTCCCAGTAGTACTCTAAAGACTCACAGAAGAAAGACTCATTAGGTCACACTCCACCTCCTGGCCAACTCAGAACTGTTCTCCACATTTGTATTCTCTAGGGCTTTGTTCTGTCTAGTTTCAGATATTCCCCAGCTTCCCTTGGGAAACTATTCTACAGTCTTGGAGATCACAGAGTCAGGAAGTCTGTCCTCCCAGGCAGGCTAACGTTACCCTCTCTTAATTTAAGCTTATTTCTTTTCATTAAGCTCCTTTATGAATCTCCCTACCACAAATAAACTGGTATTTAATTATACAGCATTAAGTGCCCAGCAGATTTCAGTCTGTCAGTGTAGTGCTCAGTACATCTATCCAGTAACTGTACTGTGTTTACTATATGAATAGCTACCAGTCATTCAGAATGATAAATGATCACACCTTTTTTGGAAATTACCACTCCCTACTACATGTTTAATTTCTCAGCTACAGAATTCAGAAGGACAAGGACATCAGGCCTCCTGCCTTCAAAGAGGAGACATATTTTAAGTCTAAGCTTGATGTCTCCGTTGGTGTATCCCTGTTCTTCTTTGTCTGGGTCTCAAGCTCCTGTTTTGAAATGATTTTACCTGCTGTTGTATTGGAAAGGCCCTGCAAGTAGGTTTTAAGCTCAGTAAGGCAGGCCCCTGCTGATTTTGAAAGGCCATTCAGTGCTGTGCGTTCATAGGGGCATTTTAAAATTGCATAATGATCTCTCTTTAAGAAAATATTTCTGCAGCAATAAAAACAACAAACAAAAATATTCCTGTGGTGGTGAAGCCAAGATTTACAATGAAGAGCAACTTGCAAGGCTAGTCTATTTCTAACTAACTGGGCTGACAGCTCCCCTGTTAAACATCTAAGAGTTGCAGTTAAGTATTTAAAGGATTGCAAAAACCCCCCCACAAACCCTGCACTTGAAAGTACATTATGTTTTTCAATACAAGGGGAAGGATTTTTTCCTAGTGGCTACAAAAACCTCATATTTAATTAAAAAAAAAGGAGTACTTGTGGCACCTTAGAGACTAACCAATTTATCTGAGCATAAGCTTGGTTGGTCTCTAAGGTGCCACAAGTACTCCTTTTCTTTTTGCGAATACAGACTAACACGGCTGCTACTCTGAAACCCCTCATATTTAATGTGAACCCAGGCTATGGCTAAATTATGATTCATTAATTATTCACTACCAATTAATTATGAAGCCTGATAATAATAGGATCATTGTTCATGACACCAAATGTCTGTGCAGATGGTAATTAGGTCCCAGGGGTCATCTCTCCAGTTCTCTCACTCTCACTTAGGGCAATTGATCAAAGTGCATTATCCCCTTCCCCATATGGTTTTTGCCAAGCATGTCATGATTTGGAAATTGGTTTCAGAGTGGTAGCCATGTTACTCTGTATCAGCAAAAAGAACAAGGACTATTTGTGGCAGTTAGTCTCTAAGGTGCCACAAGTACTCCTCGTTCTTTTTGATGATCTGGAAAGTGGCTTCCTTAGCACCTGCCTCCAAACAAGAGCATAAAGCAGTCCAGCAGTTCATGCTCATATGGCCGAGAGCACTTGGATACTCATATAATCAGTCTTAAGAGCAAACTGTGTATATCGAGTTCAGCAGAAACATGGCAAGAGATATTCTAAGACAGAGTTAGAGATAAACTGGCTCACTCCAGGCCCTGTGAAGTACTGAGTATGCCCTCAATTCCCAATGAAATAATAGCAAATAAAAAACCAAACCTATACATAAAATTATCGGACAGAGGCCCTTTAAATAAAGCACAAGATTCTTCTCTCACATACACCAGTGAGAATCAGGAGCAGCTCCACTGATGGAAGTCACTGATGGAAGACTGGTGAGAGGAGAATCAGGCTCAAAATGTCCTATGGGAGACTTTAGTGGCAGCGCCAAACACAGGGTCAGCCCCGTTCTCAAGGAACAGGAAGCCTCTTTGGCTACATTGAAGAAATCCGTTCGACCTTCACAGAGAAGGTCAGCAGCTGTTTGACTTAGTTCTAGATGGCATAAACTCTCAGGCTAACCGCTCAGGAGGCCAATGTATCGGCAAGCTTCCAGGGACAGCCTTAAAAGGAGAAGGGTGAGATAGAGAGGCATCTTTTTTTCCATCCCAGACATACAGTGCATGCCTTTGCTCCTCTTTGCACTAAAACTGTACATCCGGTTTCATGGAACCAACATATGATCTTGCAGCTCCAGGCCAACATGACAATAACCTGCTGAAAGACCTATTGTACGTGTTTAGCTCGGTGCACCAAGGCTAATTAAAAAATCCCTCAAAGTGACACCTATTATATCCAGGCAAAGTAGACAGAAGGAAGAAAGTCTTTGGTGCAGGTGGAAAACTATTGTAGAACAAAGCCAAGACAGGTGCCTGGGCAACTTGTATCAATCTGCACATATTGCAAAGACATCAGCACGCTTACCTAAACCGGGCCACGGGACTGAGAGTGTTAGCCAGGGCACGCTCGTGCCATGAAAACAGGCAGAAGATGCGGAACTGCTCCTCAGCTGGGATAAAGAGCTGCTTTCATCCTTGGAAAAGTGTGCCTTGCAAAACATTACCTTTGGCCACAACCAGGTGAATGGTGCCATTTGCATTTGCAGCATCGAGCAGAAGACTACCGGAAAGTTTACCCCTACCCACATGTCTGGAGAGGAGGTCTCCCTTCCTTTCACAACAAGTGCAATCACTCTATAGCCAAAGGGAGCCATTAGCTGCCTGACTTTTGACTCAGTGTTCTGAAGATCATATTAATTACAACTAGACAGATCCAAACCAGCGCTCCGCCCCCAATCCAAAGTTAGCACCAGACGTGCCCAGACAACACTCACGAATTCTCCTGTAGTTCCGAGACTTTACTAATTAATAGCACCCCTGTTCTATTCAGCATTTTGAATACTCACTGTAGTATACAAGCTGCTAAGTGTCTAAACATCAATATACGTAAGAGGAGCATCATAACTGTCCAAAAGGGCCATACTACACTCTTCACTCCGCATGATACTGATTTAAGACTGAAAACTGACATGGAATGAATGAGAAATAATAAACAGTCCTTGCCTAACTGTCCAAGGCTCCAAAGCAGCAACATCTACGAAGCAGATGGGGCTGGGGAGGCATGGACCATCTAAAGCACATTTTGTGGCTCTAACTCCAGCAGGGCCATGGCTATAATTTGGTATTCTAGTCATCTGTCAAGTTAAAGATGTTAATGCTAGAAGAGGATTATTCTATCTGAACCAATAAACATTTTCCCTGCAGAGCATTAACACAGTGTTAACGGTCAATTTCTTATGACTGGCAGATTGTTTGCCGTCTTTTCCTTTACTTGACAACGCCCTGTGGAAAGTGAGCATGCCACCTGTCTAATTAAGAGGAAGCTAACACGGAGGTTAAAGGAAAAAGCAAGTAATTTTAGCAGGAAGACATAAAGGAATGTGCGGCTGTAAGACTCTATCAGACCCCAAATGCAGCATGATGCGCAAGGCAGGAATTCACTTATTTTATTATGATAGCATCTGCTCAGCTTTGGCTTTTTAACTTTTTTTTTAAAAAATGTATTAAAATAGATAAATGAAGGTGTGACAACCCATGTAGCCTGCCTTTTACACAAGTTAGAGACATTAAATGTCTGAAGGAAAGAAGGACTCCAGCAATACAGAATGAGGGGAGACCTTGGCATTTGATTTCGGTCTCACTAGGAAAAGGAATAGAAGATCAGACCAGTGGTCCATTTAGCCTGGTATCTCCCTCCCTCCCCCTCCCTCCAGACAGAGCTGGTTGAAACTCAAAGTTTCCATTTTGCGGGAAGTTTCAACGTTTCAAAATTTGTTTTAATTCCAAACAGTATCAGTGCTAAACTGTTTCATTTCAACACAAACAGGAGACACTGATCTAGAAAAGATAACATGTCAATGAGTCCTAAGTAGCAGCTGCCCTTTGTGATTTAAAAAAAAAAAAAAATCTCTACTACTGATGTAAAAATAAAAAACCCCATAAAATAAAATTCTAAATGAAGTTGTCCAAAATGAAACATTTGTTGTTTCAAAATATCTCCCCCTCCAGGAATTTTTGTTGAAATCAACATTTTTTTTAAGCTGTTTAGATTTCAATGGAAACTGTTTTTCATCAAAACATTTTGACAAAGGATGTCTGACCAGCTCTATTCCTGATCCCTGTGGCCATCAGCTGACACTACAAAGCATCTTACCCTTTATCTTGGCCATCCAGTGTTATTAATGGTCATGCAATTATCCAGTCTCTCTTAAAACCCAGCCACAGTACATGACCCAATGACTTGCTGTGACAGTGAATTCCACAGGCTGAATGTATGCACTTGTGAACTCACTCCGCAGCTCAGAATGACATTAGAGCTTGTTTTCTAGAAAGAGTGCAACATTTCCACTCTCTATACTCACACCAATACCCCTCCACACCCTTTCCCCTCATCACACTAGATGGGCAAAGTATTCAAAGACAGTTGCACCTGAAAAATGCTTGCATTCATCAGGGGCCCTTGAAAGTCATGCTTTCACGTGCACATAGCCAGCTCACCGTTGGACTCATTATCTATCTACACATGCATACACGGGACATAAGCGTTTAAATTTTGCAGGCACAGTAAGAGTGCCTCTATTGGAAAAAGAGTCCTCTCGTGTTTGATGTGAGTTGCACCCCTAAAGGGGTCTGCAGCATGCTGTCCTCAGAGAGAAATCACAACCCTGGATCAGGGAGCAGTCCCATGACTTGAAATAGGTCCTGGAAACCAAAAATTGGAAACTGGCAGCTTTGCTTGCATCCCTCAGCGCAGTGATTCTCAACCAGGGGTACATGTACCTCTGGGGGTATTCAGAGGACTTCCAGGGGTACATCAACTTATCTAGATATTTGCCTAGTTTTACAACAGGCTACATAAAAAGCACTAGCGAAGTCAGGACAAACTAAACTTTCATAGACAATGATTTGTTTATACTGTTCTGTATACTACACACTGAAATGTAAGTACACTATTTATATTCCAATTGATTTATTTTATAATTATATGGTAAAAATGAGAAAGTAAACAATTTTTCAGTAATAGTGTGCTGTGACATCTGTATTTTTGTGTCTGATTTTGTAAGTTTTTAAGTGAGGTGAAACTTGGGGGTACACAACACAAAGACTCTTGAAGGGGTACAGTAGTCTGAAAAGGTTGAGAGCCACTGCCTTAGCACCATGAGCAAAGCTATTTATGTTTAGTTATTTTTCTGACCCATCATCATCAAAGAGAGGATAGAAGAGCTGCCCAAGGATGTCAGCCCACCACGGGGAATAAGCGGAATTCATACTTCAACATTTGTTTTCTGACAGTCTCTATTCCTGAAGTGAAATAGCCCTAAATAGCATAAAGAAAAGGAGTACTTGTGGCACCTTAGAGACTAACCGTGAGCTATAGCTTACGAAAGCTTATGCTCAAATAAATTGGTTAGTCTCTAAGGTGCCACAAGTACTCCTTTTCTTTTTGCGAATACAGACTAACACGGCTTCTACTCTGAAACCTAAATAGCATGGAGGCTGAAGCTATAATGAGCTACCGCTCAGCAGAGTTTTAAAGATAGCTGGAAAGCGATAAGATTCCAATCCCCAGAGTCAATGAGATAAAGTGGTTTATCTGGATTTGCACATGAGAGTTAGCTGCTAGACTTCGCTGAGAGATAGAAGGTTGCTGACTGGGGAGATTACAACAAGAGATAGACTCACAGGGTATTCTGTTTACAGAGCCAACTGAATTAGAACAGATCACAAGCTACCAGGAAAAAAAAATCCAATCAACCCCAAATACAGAACCACTAACCTGACAATGGGGAGGGAGAAGAGTTCAACTCCTGCTGGGCAAGCTCTGGGGGGGGCAAGTCAACCTTTTCCTCCTCTGGCCCCCATCTGCTCTTCCTCCTCTTTTTAGAGGCAGCTGCAGCTGGCTGTTTAGAGGAAGCTGGAGAGGATGAAGAGGACGGTGTGGCCTCAGGAATGCTCTTGTGTTTCAGGTTGGGTTCCAGCACAAAAGGTGTCCCTATGGAGTTGTTCTTGGCCTTACGGAACTCCTCCAGCTTCTGCCGGTAATATTTGTAGCCTTTGCTGTTTGGTTCATATAAAAACCTAAGTTTAAAAAAGAAAAAGTTTTGCGTGCAACAGTTCAATTCAGAGATAGGTCTAACAGTGATTTGGCCAGGAACTCTCCTCCCCACGTGCTTGGAAATACCTCCTGCCTCCTTCAAACCCACTTCTTTCACTTCACCCCTGGATACTTCTCTCCCCTCTGGTACCTCATTTGCCTGGGGTGCAAGTTAGCTTGTGAGCCCCTTGGGACAGGGACTTTATGGCTGTTTGTAAATGCACCATGGCTAATGGTGACAATACCACAGAAAGACAGAGAAATAATAAGGAAGTGGTTGTTCTGGTTAGGCATCTGATGTCTTTACAAGATCACATTGTCAGTGGAAACATAAAATCTTCCCCCAATCCCCTCTGCTGTACTCCACACAGCCTGTTCCAGTTCACAAGAGATGCATCTTCACCTTACCAAACAGAAAAATGGACTAGTGGTTAGAGCAAACTCCCATTCAAGTACTCACCTTACTGACACTAAGTCATTTTATGTAATCCCACCCTCCCCCACACCCAGAGCTCACTGCCATAGGCTGTGACCTCATGAACAAATAATGTCTTTTCCCTTTTGGGTGGAGGGAAAATCCTATTTCAATCTCTGTGGGAGGAATAGGAAGTGTCTGCAATCTAACAGCCACACAGATTAGACACACTCAGATTCGTTACAAATCTATCCACCGCTTCCCCCATCCCCTTTTCAATTTAAGCATTTTAACATAAAACCATAACTACCTTCAAACTTCCCCATCCCTCACTCTTCAGAGGATCAGTTTATTATTGGATACAGCCTCTCATTAGGAGACTGTTGTGATCTTGCAGGAGAACACACTCAGTTAGGTAATAGGTCCGTTCGGTCTATAACTGCATGATTCTACACAGGCCCACGCACACATGTGTCTCTGCTGTATTCAAAAATTCACCAAGGTGTGACCTCGCACTCCCTAACTCAGACAAAGCTGCTGCACACTTCAATGGGCATTGTTTCAGGGTAGCGCGTGGAGAGCGGGATCGGACCCTCCATGAGCAATACATGAAGTAACCCAAGCAGCAGGCCCAGATGGGATTCCCAGCAGGGCTTTAAGGGAGTTAAATGACAAAGCGGCTCAGACGTTAGTACGTCTGTCTGACATGCCACTCAACACAAGGGGGCGGGGATTCCAGAGGGCAGGATGGCAGTTAATATAATGCCAAGATTTCAAGAAGGAACAGGCTAATTAAAAACTGGTGAGTCTAGCTTCATTTTCAGGAAACATATTGTAACTCCTTGTAATGGCAGAAACAATGAGCTGCTTGGGTGAGAAGAAAAACAAGGCACTTCCCAGTGGGGATTGTGAGTAATGGGGTCTGTCAGATAAACTGATGAGAAATTTTCCAAAGCGTGGAGGAGGGGCTCTTCCTGGAATTTAGTTAAGGCGCCCTACAAAGCGGCAGTGAGTATCAGCCCCAGATGATGGTCATGAGTGAAAGGGAGCTGCAGGGAAAGGTGTAAAGGATTAGAATGAATACTAGCGCATTGCCATGGAAGGGAGGAAGTGAATGCACAATTAGGGAAATCAGATAGTAATCAAATGCCAGTTTGTTTAGAGTATTTTCTGGTCAGAAATGGCAGTCTTGGGCTGGGATTTGGGTTCTAGGCTTGGTCAGCTCTAGGAGTGTCCGGTAGCAGGAAATAAGTAGAACAACAGCTGTGTTGCACCGCGAGTGCTTGGACTGGAAAAGGGGTGACCTACCGGGCACAAAGCAGCGTCCGTTATTTATAACATGTTTTGGGTGCTACCGTAATATGTGCTGAACAGACATAGAGGGGAAATAGCGCCAGCACCCAAAATTTACAATCCTATGCCTGATCCTCCAATGAGCTTTGTGCAGAGGGACCCCTGTACCCATGCAGAGCTCACTGGAGAATCCAGGCCTAAGACAACAACAAAAACAGACAAAAGGGAGCAAAAAGGGATACAACATACACACAGAGGGATCAGGTGATGGCAGCATGACTCCAGTGCCATGATATCTAATACAAGAGAAGATGAAATAATAAATATTGACTCATTTCTAGCAGCCACTGAAGCAGCAGTGGGACTAAGGAGTAATATGAATGAGGAGAGGGTAACACATTCAGGAAGTGTGTTCCATGCACAGAGGGGAACATGAAACAGAAGTGAACGCACAGGGTATCGATGCGGGTAACGCTGTCTGGCAAAGTGGAAATAGCAAAAAGCAAAGATCAGACTTCAGGACAATTAAATCGCACTAACATGACGAAAGATGGTGTTAAGTGGTTGGAGCAGTGGACTGTGAAGTAGGACTCCCGGGCTCTATACCCAGTTTCTTGTATCCTAAGTCTTATTCATAGGGGTTTGTCCCCTGTAAACCCTGCTAAAAACAAACACAAAAAACATGCATACTCAGCTGCAGGCTTCTTCCTTTACCTGAAAGCATGGTTCTCCCGGTTGTTCTGCAAGGCAATAGCTTCCACCTCTGGACCCCCGTCTGCTATGAACCTGGCCAGCTTCTCAGCAAAGTTCTTGGTCTCTTCCTCCTCTGGGGGTGAAACTTTAAGCAGGCTGTCAATACTGGGCCCAACTCACACACCCAACAGTCAAAAGCCTATCTGTTCTACGGACCCCAAGAGTGGAATAAGGGCAAGAGGAGGGGTTTATTTTTAAGAATAACGTAAAGAAACACAGTCAAATGGTCAAGAGTTCATATCACTGGGTAAGCAGTGAGGTATCAGCTAGTGCGATGGCTCTGTATCCAGGGGAATGGCCAGGACTTTCACTCTCTGATTTTCTGCATGCCAGGGGGCAGGTGAGAGTAGACTAATACACAAGGCAGCTTTCCCCTTCTGAAAACCCATATTTGTCTCTCGCACTTAGGAAGGCAGCTAGTTTTGTCCTCCTGTACTGGATATTTGCCCATAGCAGAAAACCACAATGCAATCGGTCATCTCTAGTTAAGGCCCCCACTTCTGAAGTCAGTGGGAGCTTTGCCAGGATTGCAGCCCTCAGAAATGAGTGTGGCAGGTCACATGTGAGAGAGTGTGGTTTGTGTTACTCTCATGGTTGTGCTGGCCAATCTGGAGGAAAAGAGGAAAGTAGTGCTCCATACAGAGCCTTCATCCCACTCTTACCTGGAGGAGGGAGCTACTGCAGCCCTAGTCCAATGGTACAGAGAAAGCTCTGACCGTGAATATTGTCAGAGCAATTCCCCCTTATGAACAATCAAACAAGTATTTTATTTACATACAACTGCCTTATACGGTACTTCTCATCTTCAGAGCACTATGGCAACAAGGCTTAATGGTTAGAGCACAGCAGTAGGCATCCAGGCGACCTGATTTGTTGCATGGGCTTGGGCATGTCAGAACATTTCCTTGCCTCAATGTCCCATCTGCAAAGGGTGGATAATACCACTTAACTATTAGGGTGCTGCAAGGATTAATTAATTGGTGTTTTCAGAGCACTATGGACCTAAAAAGCTCTATAAAAATCATTGCTACTGTGTGTTAACTAATAAACCTTCAACACCCTGCACTGGTAAACAGCATTAATCCCTTTTTTACAGCTGAAGAAATGGAGAAGAGAGGTTAAGTGATTTGCCATGGTCACACAGGATTTCTGTGCCAGAGGCTGGATTAGAAGCGAGATGTTCCTGACCCAAAAATCATGCTTAGCTCACCAGGCAACTCCTTCCTTCCCGAAATATTTAATTTTTTGCATTTCACTGCCCTGGACATTAATTCACTGGCAGATCATCTGCTCCTGCTGCTTCTCCACCTAAAGCCACAATTCCCAATTTGCAAGAACCCATCTGTTGGCTATGGAATTATGATGCAAGCTAAATGTAATGTCTTTCAATGGGGAATAAGCAGCAGAAACAGGGGAATGAATGCTGAAGAAACAAAGACCCTGTTTCCATCTTGACTCATGTAGAGTGAAGTTAGAAAGCAAACGAGAGTACCTGAGAAGCAAGACAGATTCTAAATCTATTGTCTTTCAGAGTCGGAACATCATTTTCAGGACCAAACAATGCAGAATCTTCTTCCTTCTAGCTCACTTTCCTGAAGACGTTTGGGAAATACTAGGATACTCTTCCTCCACAGGAAGCAATCCTGCAAGCTCTCAGTGTGTTGGACTCGCACTGATTTCAATGGGACTTTCATGCGTGGAGAGCTCCCTTATAGACTTAAGGAAATGAATATAGTGGCATCCCTTAAGAATCAGGCTCTCTTATTGACTCACGAAATGAATATAGTGGCATCAGAGATCGATGCCAGGAAACATCATACAACTCCCTTTGTGACAGTGCTTTACTTACAGGCAGCAAGAGACCAACAGCAAGACTAAAGCTGCTGCATATTCTACTTCGATTGATTCTTAAAATGTCTAACTAGCAGTTATTGAGAGCACTGAAAAAGACTTTATGATCTACATTTCATGATTGAGAGGTTGTGCTCCCAACCCCCTCACTTACCTTTCTGACAAGAGGACGTCTGCAAACTCTGATTCTCTTTTTTCATTTCCGCTACTTTCTTTCTGTAGTACAGGAATTCCCTGCTGTTCTTATCATGTAAAAATCTGGAGTGGAGAGGAGAAAAAAGTTACTAAAGCATATTTTGAGATATTAATGTTTCTGCCCACTTGGTACAAAATAAAAAAAGACTAGACTAGACAAAATCAGAAGATAAACTACTCTGAAAATACCTTAAAAGACTCCATTTATAAATTGTATAGCATAACACAGTGTTTCTCAACCGGGGTCTGGCGGGGCACAAGCAGGTTTCAGGGTGTCTGTCAAGCAGGGCCAATGTTAGACTCGCTGGGGCGCACGGCAGAAAGCCAAAGCCCCACAGCCCTGAGCTCTGCCACCCAGGGTTGAAGTCAAACCTGAGCAATGTAACCTTGCAGAGTTCCTGTGGCATGGTTTTCGTATTCAGAAAACCAGTTCTTGTGGAACAGGTGGGCTGTGGAGTTTTTATAGATGTTGGGGCGGGGGGAGGGCCCTCAAAAAAAAGGTTGAGAACCCCTGGACTATAACACTTTATACCTGTAAACCTCACAGCACTTTGGGAACATAAGCAACAGTAGCCCCATTTTAGACGGGGAAATGATCACGCAGCAGACAGAGAGGAGTGAACCTACGGTCTCCTGACTCCCAGCCCAGCACTCTTATCTGCTAGACCACAATAGCATAGAGTCAGGGCTCCTGGGTTCTCCTTCTAACTGCTACTGATTTGCGACGTGTCCTCAGCAAAGTCATTTCCTCTCTATACCTCAGTTTCCTCATCTATAAAACAAGGCCAATAACACTCAGCTACCTCAAAGGAGATAGTGAGACATAACTGACTGGTGTTTGTAAAGCGCTTGGAGATCCATGGCTAGAAGGCTGTCCAGATGCACAGAGTATTCTTATGGTACTTTGTGAAAACATATGAAGGAAATGACACCATAAAGATCAAACCCCCCGCTCTATGCATGCAGGGCCTAGGTTCTTCACCTTGAGATATACTATGCTGCTTTAGCAAATTAAGTTTGCCCCCAAACTTACGAAAATGCTGGATTATCCTTGTAGTCTTCCATAGCGACCTTTTCTAATTCTGGTCCCCCTTCGGCCACGAACCTAGCCAGCTTTTCCACCACTTTCCGGGTCTCTGCATCCTCTGGGGGTAAAACTTTAAGCAGGCTGTCAGTACTGGGGTTCAACTCACACACCCAACAGGCACATTACTTCTAAGAACCACAGCGGTAGACAAGAGTGGGATGGGGATGAGGAGAAAAACGATGAAATGGGGAGCCAGTCTTACACAGCTGCACAAGTTACAAATCCGAGTTACTCTCAGGCCTTACCCTCCCAGTGGGAAAGGAACGATCTGACTAGAACCTTTTATGAGAGAAAATAGAAGATTTGGATTCCTTCCAGTTTAGGGTTCAATTGCAATTTGCTATGTAATTAGCTACTAACAATTCTAACATACACACTCACAACGGGGTGGGGACAATGTGGCTGTTTTTTAAAATAATGTATTGTTCACGAAGGGGCATGGATTTCAGCTCCTGAGATGTCAGGCTTTATCCACATACCAGACACAGTCTGGGCAGTGGGAGCGTAAGCTTCCGCATGCTGCACCTGCCAGTGTGCCTTAACCAGGAAGGACCATTACCAGACGGGAGAGAGCTGACTCTCTGAGAAGTTACCCTTTGGCCTCTCTATTGAGGCTGCCAACAAGGGGCCAATTCATCTCAAGTATCAGAGGAAGTCCAATAAAGGACACATGTTCACTGGGAACTAGACAGAGACCAGACAAATTTCACACAGGCCACTGAACAGCTATCAGACAGTAACAGATTTGTCAGCACTGACCTAGACTAGATTTGACCCAATGACCAAAAAGCAAAAAAGTCCATATCCTAGTACCAATCCCATTAGCCAATTGGTCTCCCACACTTGTTTTTCAGTTGTTGTAGGGATGTTTAATTCCTGCTTTGGTTTCTACACGGTTATGTGCAGATCTGCCTGAGATTTTGCTTAAGTTTCTGATGGAAATAGCAATAAGGCAGATCCCATATAGCAAGAAGTGGTCTTTCTAATGCATCATTAAAACCATTTCACATTTTGTTTAATCACGTAACATGAAGCCTAGCTAGGAGGTCTGTAAATATGCCCAGACTGACTCTCCTTCTAAACCATTCGTTCAAAACATGAATGGAAATTCAAGTTACTAGCTGGGAAGCAGGGCTCAATAAGTTTCTCTAAGATCATCTTGGCCCTAAATTTATATTACACTTTATGTTATTTGATATGCTGCAGCATTCTTTATTCTCTTTGATATTCCAACCTAATCAAGGAGTCATAGATCCCAGGGCCAGAAGGGGCCATTGTGATCATCTAGTCTGACTCCCTGTATAACACAGGCCATAAACTTCCCCAAAATAATTCCTAGAGCTTCTCTTTTAGAATAAGGATCCAATCTTGATTTAAAGGGTAAGGAAAGAAGCTCACAGTCAAGATGTCCAAAATGGTGATTTCCTAATGAAACTCTGGAAAGATGGGAGGGCTTCACTTCTATCTGATCTCCATAAAATGCTTAGTGTTCAGACAGCCACTCCTGAAAAGGGAGCCTTTCATTTTCAATTGATTAAAACAAACCAGATATGTCTCAAGACCACCTTTTAAAAAAGAATTGTGCACCATCCAGCCTGCTTTCTAGCTGCAAAGGCAGACACCCTTCTACCACCAACATCTAAGCAAGCTCAACTAAGTGGAGGAAAGATTAGAACACACCCTTCCCCTCCCTACTCCTTAGGGTATGTGAATTTTGCAATGGTGAAAGGTGCTGGCTTGACAGCCCTGGAGAAGACAGTCCTCTATTCACAGCACAGGCAATGGTAGGGGGAGCGTCTCCCACTCTGGCTAACAAATGTGTATCAGCCCCAAACTAGAGGAACAGTATCTAAGGGTGAGGAGGGAGTTCACTCTCCATGGTCCAGTAATTCAATCCTCAGCCCTGTCATGAAGTTGGCAACAAGGGGGCCAATCAGTGTCAATTGTAGTGTTTATATTTTGTGATGCAGACACCTGCCCATTGGGATCTGGGCTGAAAAATACTTTCTCATGTGCTGTGATTTGGTAAGATCTTTCCAATGAGAAAGCATCAAGCAATAATTTTTCCCCATAAGAAAGACTGTAAACAGAAGTCTGAAGAAGCATTAAACCAAGCTGTTTCCCATCTGAACCCTTACCGATAGCCTAACTGAACCTGCATGCAAAATAAATAAGAAGTGATTTCAGTTCAATAGGATGCAACTTACTTTTAATTTCCAACCATTGCTCATAATCCTCCTCTTCATCATCATCTGGCGACTGAAACACACTGAGGCGGTTAGCAACTGGCATCTGTTTGGAATGGGAGTAATTCTTCACTTGGTTCACCATGCTGCTCGTGCCCAAGCTGGGACGTTTCCCAATCAGGATGGGTTTCTTCCCGGTGCTTGAAGCAGAGGTGTTTGCAGAAACGTTGCCAGAACTTGGGGAAGCTTCTTAAAAAAGAAGGGGGGTGGGGTGGGAAAATCTGTGTATCCTTTCTGATTTGATCTGAGTAGTTTGCATAGGGCACTAATATGGTTACCACAGTGGACTGTGTTTAATTTTAGGTTTACAGATGTTTGTTGGTAAACACCAATCTCACCCAAGCAGCTGAGTTTAAGGAAGACTAGGATCTCCCGGAAATGTTAAGAAAATACATTTCAAGCTCGAGAACATATCTTGCTAAATACAGATGGTAGCAATGCAAGCTTCTGTACCCCATACTGCCTCACCAAGTCACCTTCATCTTAGTTTAGAGGGACCACTTCTATTTCAGTATTTAAAGTAACCAATGTTAGCAAACAGTTTGCACTCTCTAACACTGGGCTCTTCCATGTCAATACACCTTTAGAGCAGCTCTCATGCTGCTGGTGTCACAAAGGAGAAGAGGGAGGACTTTCTGTTGCTCAAGAATCAACTTACCAGTACTTGATTTTTCCTTCTGCAGCTTAAGAAACTGCTGGAGAAAGCTGCCGTCATTGGCAAATTTGTTGGAAACAGAGGCTTCGTTTTCACCACTTTCATCTCTAAATAGAAAAAAAGAAGAGAAGGAGACTAGATGCTTCATGTCCTTCCTTGTAGCTCAGAGAGCAAAATAAAATGCTAATAATTGCTAATCTCTCAAGGTGGAAAGGGACCACTTGTCTCAGCACTTCCCAATAATATAGCATTTTCAAAATATTAGATACTAATTAATCTCCACGATACCCCTGTTAGGTATTAGTAACCCTACTTAACGGATTGGAAAGTGAAACAGGAAGTTGAGTAAGTCACTTATTCTAAACCTGCAATGAGTCATGGTCGGAAGCTGGAGTTAGAATTCAGGTGTGTCTGATTCCCAGTTGAGTGCTTGGACTACATCTCTCCCACTGTACAAAATGCCCCTACATTTTCTAAATCTCCACAGCCACAGAATTTGCCTATTATGGAATTATCTGTGCATCCCATGTAGTTCACTCCCCACCCTACTGAAACAGGGCTGCTGCTAGCAGAGTTTCTGTATCATTTCCCTGAGCAGCATTTGTTCAGAGGACTACACTAACCAAACCATGCTAGAGACTAACCCCACAGTAGTTTCCAAAACAAGGTTTACAGAATAAAAGTATCAGGCAGAAAGCCCCAGGGAAAACAAACTAGGTCTCTGCTAGCAACAATCATGTTTAATTGTTGTTGCTAGCTGCTCAACCCTGGACAATACTTTAGAAAGGAGACAAGATGCTGAAAACTGCCTAGCATAAAAAGGAAAATGTACTAAAGTACTAAATTTAATTTTACTAAAGGGTTTTTTTAAATCAGTCTTGTATGTAATGGTTTCTGAAACAAAATTTAGTGACAAAACCTTATGATTCTTACGCACTCATTGAGCCGAGGGGGTTGTTGGCTGGCCAGGTGATTCCGTTTTGCTTGCTGCTCCATTTTGGCCTCAATTTCTTTCTTCTTTTGTGCTATCAATTCCTCCTGATGAAGGATATTCATATTCATCTTCACAGATTTAGATGGTGTAACGCCAAACCATCTGCTAGCTTTTCCTGGAGAAACAAAGTGGGATCAAAATTTTCTTCCCTTTATGAGATCATCTAGAGAAATATTAGAGTGCTTATAAATAACTGGAGGGGCATGAGAGAAAAATCAAACAAACCACGTTTCCACTTCTACTATTCCTGACTTTTACATCATCTGACTAGGGGACATTTGGTAAGTCCTTTAACTTCTATCTCAGACTTGGTCTACATCTAAAACTTGGTTCTCCCTAGCTACACTACTCAGGACTGTGAAAAACTTCACATCCTGTACAACATGTTGAGGTCAACCTAAACCCCACTGTAGATGCGCTAGGTCAACAGACGAATTCTTCCATCAATCTAGCTACTGCCTTTTGAGGGGGTGGATTTACAACAGCAATCGAGAAATCCCTTCCATCACTGGAGTGTCTACACTACAGCAGCCTTGCTGCAGCGCTTGTCGTGTAGACATACCCTTAGATTGCCCCCTCTAACAGGACACATCCGTGAGACTTAACCTACATTTTGCGAGCGCTTTAGAAATCCTCAAACAAAAGGTGTTACAGAAAGACAGAGCATTCTTATATTCGGCTAGAGACTCTCACATTTGAGATGACAGTGCATTCTCTCCCAAGGTGAAGGGCTTTGCTGTACGTGTATCAATCAGGCATTTAAAACATCACTTTTTAAAAGTCTCCCTCATTTGTACAATTACAGCTTGGCAGCCAGAGTTCTGAGGGCGGCGGGGAAGGTGGCTGCTGATCTGCCTAGGGGGAAAGGCTTTTCGCTTCCAGGGCTGGGCTGTGACTGATGGCAGACCCACAGCAGTCGGGGGCCCCGCCAGCCCTGCTGCTGAGAGCCCGGGCCTGCAGGGGCGGCCCCTTTAGACGGGATGCCGGGCTCGAGCCTGGGGAGGGGCGGGGAGAGGACGAAGGGGGCTGAACCCCCTTAGAAGGAGTTAAGCCCCCTGCGAGGGGCCGGGCTCTGCTTGGGAGCCGGGGCCGTTCCCCAGCCTGGGGAAGGGGGCAGGACCGGGGCCGGGCTGGAGGAGGGGCTCTCTCTCTCTCAGACAGGCGGGGAGGCAGCGGGGCCGGGGGGAGGCTAGGCCCAGGCTGCGGAGACAACATTGGTACCTGGAGCATCCCGGGAGTTGTCCATTTTGATGTCGTTATCCCACAATGCAACGCGGTTACCTGGGCTTATGGGATGGAAATGGAGGGCAGGGCTAATGCGCCGCAAAGGCGCCTGGGAGTTGTAGTCCGAAATCCAGAAAGTGGGAGATGGCTGGGGTGGGGAAGCTGGAAGGATTTAAGGCCTTCTCTCTTCTGTATGTGGTCCAAGATCCCACCCTCGCCCCAACTGCCGGATTCGGCCTCCCGAGCAGGACTGAAGGCAGGGACTACGACTTCCATGAGACTGCGCGCGGGAAGTCCCGTTGAGAGAGTGCAGTTCTCGCGCGATTTGGCGAGGCCTCCAAGGAGGCGGGGGAAACGGGGAGTGAAGAACAACATTTCCCATGAGCCTGTTGGCGGGGACGAGGCCCTCCTGGGAGGCGAGGGCCGCTCGCCAGCGCGTGATTTGCTCCGAGTTCTCGCGTGACCTATGCGCGCCGGGGCTGCCCAGCCCTGTGAGGCAGGCTCGCGACTCCATGTCCCAGACGCCCTTGCGCGGGCAGCCGCCCCCGCCCCCGCGTTGTGGCGGCGGCGGCCTGAGATGGCGGCGGTCGCTGCGGGTGGCTCGGGCTCGGCCGCCGGGGCGGCCCCTCAGCAGCAGCAGCAGCAGCCGCCGCCGCCGCCGCAGCAGCAGCAGCAGGCGGCGGGGGGCGCGGCGGGGTCGGGCTCCGGGGAGGCCGGCGGGGGCGGCGCTGGGGCCGGGGCGGGCTCGGGCGGCGGGGCCGGGCCCGGGCCCGGGCCCGGAGGCGGGGGCGAGTCGTGGTACCTGGCGCTGCTGGGCCTGGCCGAGCACTTCCGCACGTCGAGCCCGCCCAAGGTGCGGCTGTGCGTGCACTGCCTGCAGGCCGTGCTGCCCCGCAAGCCGCCGGCCCGCATGGAGGCCCGCACCCACCTGCAGCTGGGCTCCGTGCTCTACCACCACACCCGCAACGGGGAGCAGGCCCGCGGGCACCTGGAGAAGGCGGTGAGGGGCGGCGCAGGCCGGGGGGTAGCGGGCCCCAGAGGAGGCAGTGAGAGAGTGAGGGGCTGGGGGAGGGCAGGCGGCTGGGGTCCTGCAGGGTGCTGACGGGTGGAGGCTGACGGCCACTGACTACTCTCCGCGCGGCCCTTCGTGGGAGTCAGGCTGCTCTCTGCCCCAGCCAGCTTGTGATTTGGTGCCCTACTGAGCAAGGGGGCCAGGCTGTTGTCTGGTGGGCTGAGTGAAGGGTTTCATGCCATGGAGGGAGACTGTGCTGGCTCCTCGATTGAGGCCCATGAGCCATGTTCTGTCTGTTTACCAAAGAAATTGTAGTGTGAAGGAACGGGTGGCCGTGGGGCAGTTTCTTAAATGAACCCCTTCGTATTGTTGACTGTGCACTGACTCATCTGTTGTCTTCTCTTACAGTGGATGATATCACAACAAGTATCCTTTCCTGACCATCTGACGGTAGACATTTAATAGCTGAACACTCACGTTTATAGCCTGGATTTAATGTGAAGTATTTCGACAAACAAAACTGGCCAGAGTGAACCTGATTCAGTATTTTGTAGGTTGTTCTCACCAGTTCCCAGACGTGGGCTTTTCTTAAATCTTTAAGCTTTGTCTTGGCATATTGAGCATTGATGGGTGGACTAATACATATTGCAACAAAGTTTAATATTTACTTAACTTTGATGCTGCTAGATTCCACAGTTTGAAGATGTTAAATTTGAAGCAGCAAGCCTTCTGTCTGAACTGTACTGTCAAGAGGTAAGTGTATTGAGGCTGCTCCTAAAATATGGTACTTTGCTGATCATGAGTGCCCTATCGAGGGGGTGAAGGGTTTTTGACAATTTACAAATATTTTTTGTATTAGAACCACATGTGCACACATCAGTTACAACGTACTCCTGATTATGGGTGATCTCTGGTGCAGGGAAGCTTAATTTGTAGTGAAGTAATATGGAAGTTCCAAGGTGTTTCAATATATCCCATTATGCTGGTTGCAATTACCATTACAATTAAGAAGTTCTATGATAAAATGAGTTTACAAACCTTACTTATTCCATTAGTCATGGAGGAAAATACAGGCTAACTTTTTTTTTGGAGTTTTCTGAGATACTTGTGTTTTGTGCCTTGAATATTTTGGATTAGATTTACTAAAAGACCTTTAAAAGGGGTCTTCAGTTTTTGCAGGCAAGCCCATTTGTGTTCTCTAGTATACATTTTTGTGCACGCATGAAGGGTTATGAGTGTACAGATGGATTTATGTACTAATATTGTTCAGCACATCTTTTGAGGACTGCAAATTTGATTACTAATGTCAATGTTTGTTTTCAATTTTTTTTGTTTTTTTTTTTGCTTTCAGACTTTTTTAAATTGGGACCAAACCAGAATATCTTTCATTAAATCTCAACTGCTTTCAGTGCTGAAGATTCATTATTTTGGTTGGTTTTACTGTTGATTTTAAGGTACATATTTTTATTTCAGAATTCAGTTGATGCAGCAAAGCCTTTGTTGCGTAAAGCCATCCAGATTTCACAGCAGACGCCGTACTGGCACTGTAGACTACTTTTTCAGCTTGCCGTAAGTATTATTCAGGTGCCTTATAAAGCTGCATAAAAGGACTGTGAAAATGTCAGGAAGAAAGTATAATTTATATGTAAATTTCTAGATTTTTGCAAAGAGGAGAGAATACTTCTGTATTACTGAGGACACAGCAAGGCTTGGGTGTCTGTCTCTTGATCCAGTGGCTGGAACTAGTGCATAGATGGAACTGCCGAGAGTGTTTCATGTTGTACTATTGTGATAGACTTCAAGTGGAGTCTAGTACAGGCCTCCTTGCCTGTAGGGGTGGTGATGTGGCTGGCAGGAGAAGGGGGGGAGATCCTCAGGGTTCTAGCAGGGACATAGAATCCTGAGAAAAGGTAGAAGAATCCCCTTCAAAATGTACATAAAACAGATACCTCCCCACACAGCCTGACTGGATTGAATAGAGAGTTTCCTACTTGAGGATGGTGTGAGAGAAGTGTGGGTTCCACTGTTTTCCACTTGCCTTAACATCCAAAGCCAAACTGGGTTGGAAAGTGGAATTACTACGAAGGCTTCAGATCAACATCAGAAATGTTGTTCTCCCCTTTTCGTAAATGTTCTTATGCATGGCTTCAGTTGCACGTTTAACGCAGTACTGGTTTTTAGGCATCATCTGAGAACAATCTTGGAATTAGGAGGTGTGCTTGACATCTTGTCCTTACTTCTGTTGTACATGTGTTCAGCGGATACTACTTAACCGATCTATAGGGTATCCCAGACTGTTAGGATTAGAAGCTCATCATATCATCCAAAGAGTTTACAGGCTAACCAAGTAGTGAGAGAGGCAGGTCTTGCTCTCTGCTGGACCTGTACAGTCAAGAGAGCATTGTTCAGCAATATCTCTTCCAAGATGTGCCTTTTCTCAGCAGCCTGATAGATACACAGAATACAATGAAGGCTGTTTGATAAGGATTGAGGGAATTGCGCTTTAGAGGCACTTTCTTTCAAAAGGGAGCTTGCCAAACTATTCTCTTGAAGGATGTGTTAACATTCACCTGTACTCCTCTTCTTCCCCCATTCTGTATAGGCTCAATCAAATAGCAACAACTTATTTCAGCAACCTTGAAAATGACTCGTTTGTGTAATTTGAGTTGAGATTTTTGAGAGCCTTGCACTTCTGTCAGTTAAGGGGGAAATGTTTACTTATCAGTGAGTTGTATGTGTACGTATAAGAAGCTTAACCTCCAGTTATATTCTGTGCAAGATTCTTCTTACAAACCCCAAATACGTTGCTGGTATTGTGACATGTTTCTTTCTAGCTTCCTCCTGGTCAAAAGGCCTGAATTCTTTATTCTGTTGCACATTTCACTGAGATGAATTGGCTTTCTGGCTGGAGATTGGGAAAATTGCAATTTCAGAAACTAAGGATGCATCACAAAAAAACCTACACCACTCTTCTTCCCTGGCCTGGAGCATTGAATATCAGGTCATGCTCACCGACTTTATGATAGTGCCTTCCCTGCCAAAGGAATCCCTGCTGTTTTTGACTGTATGTTAGGTTTAGATGAGGCTGTATGTAGAGTAGACCACCTCTACTCTATGATAACTTGGATACGTGTTTTAAAAAAAAAAAGGTTTGAAGGGGATTTTCTTTGAAATGTTGAAAACTTTTTTAGAAGAGGAATGGGAAGAGTTTCATGAAAAGGCCTTCTGTTGTGTTCAGGTGACATGTAAAGAACTCCTATTAAGCAGTTGTATCAAACTTTAATTTCATAACAAAATGTCCAATTATTGTAACAGGAGTACCAAAAGAAAAAAACATAACTGGAAGTTTGAGTCATCAAAAATGCTAACTTGAAAACTGACTTTTTTTTTCTCTTCAGCAACTTCACACACTTGAAAAAGATTTGGTATCTGCATGTGACCTTCTAGGAGTTGGAGCAGAATATGCCCGGGTAGTAGGATCAGAATATACCAGGTATGTTGCCTTCACCTACCTTTCCCAGAAATATTTTAATTTATTCTAATTTACATTGAGATGCTGGTTGCAAATGAGCTTCTGTAAATCCATCATAATCAAAGCAGCATTTCTCATGTATTCTCTCTCTCAAATCTGAGTCTCTTGCTCTCGCCCATCCAAGGCTGCTTTTAACAGGAAACAAACACCGGCAGTCTGCACCAAAGTTCTGGAGATTCTTATTCTTAAACAGAACTTTGTTTGCCCTCCTCATCTACTCACATCTTCCCAACATGCAGGCTTTAGCCTTTAGCTCCCCTGCAAATGGGGACCTTCCAAGGCTTAGATACAGACCTAAAGCCTCAGACTCTTTATTTCCCTGGCACTGTGATTTGGACTCCTTTTTCCAATTTTAAACTTGCCTTCCTCTTCTAGCTCTGGCAGGCCCCTTATTGCTGCTTTGAGTGGAGCCCCAGAGATAGAGGACAATGGGTGTTTTCTATATTGTGGTGCATAGACCGCAAAAATTTGATTAAACCCTCTTCTCCCACCCCACACATTACCTTATAATTTACCTTATGTTGTGTCTTTTACGTCGGAGATACTCTAAAGTCTGGTCTGC